GGCATTTTTTTGAATGGCTATACATACGGACTTGACATTTTCACACAAAGCCAGGCATTTAACCCTGATCACCATTGATTTTTCCTTGGTTCACATAAGCACAGTTTATTTATTTATTTGATATGTACAAGTATTCTCTTATCAGAGACAATCATATTCGAGAGACTGCCAGACAATAAATATGGGCACCTCTTACAGCGAAGATTCAAACGTTGTTTCATTGTATTGTGGAAAATTAGCCCATTCTACTAAATTCAATCATCATGATAAAATTTTCTATGTAAATGCAAGCATTGCAAGCAGCTAAACCAAATTATTTAAGATTTAATTAAAAATATCACAGAATAATGTCATTGAATGTGAATTATAAAATATGTTTCTTATATTTATTGTTTTTTAAAAATAAATTTTTAAATTTAATTTATCCTAATATATAATTTGTTTTACACCCACGAAATTGGAACCCTTAATTTTATTTGAAAGGAATTGAATTCACGTGCTAGTTCTTTAAATAATTTCTATACACACTTTAAGGGGCTGAATCTTATTTATTGAATTTGTAAATAACATAGATGAAATTATAATTATATGAAATTTAAATTAAACAAAGAATTTAAAGCCGAGAAATTTTCTTTAATCATTAAACCGAATCAACACATCATATCACTAAATCGGCGGATTGACGGTGATACAATAATATTTCAGATCACTATTCATTAAATCAATTAATATTTTAGATCACGCATCAAAAAATAATTAAGAAAAAGCATGGCGGCTACTATTTTTGAGGTATCAGGGTAAAATTATTTCCATCATATTTCTATTTTAATTTCTTTTCCCATTACTGCATATTTATTTAAGAGGTTCAACAATCCGCACCCATGCTCTATGTCCATGGTCCTTCACCCACTTCTTCTCTCTCCCTCTCTCACTATACGACTGTTCATGAATGGTCTTCTTCGTGATCTTCCACAGCTTTCTTGAACTGTGCCTGTAAAGGCTTCATGCAAACAGAATTTCCACCAACACAATTCAAGAAAGCTGTGGAAAATCACTGAGATGATCAGCCGCATCGCCACCCGTACTCTTTGCTAGTACAGTCAACCAATACATCAGGTCTTCATGAACTTTTCTAGTCACTGGTTCAACTCTTTGTCCAGACATGGCAATTGATTTGCCCCAATCTTCTCATCTCTTCTCTTCTTTTTTTTTTTTTAATTTTCCTCGCGGCAGAATTTTCATTGTGGTGCTCTTGTAGCAGACGCTTTACTGCCATTTCGTTTCTCTGTAGAAAATGTCACAACATATATTTCATGCAGGTTCCGATGGCGAAATTTCAGATCTCTTCCGATGATTTGCTCCGATCTGACAAAAACAGACGCTCACGGTTACATTTTGATTACGTTTTCTAGATGCATTATCGAATAACGTCGATAAATCTGATACATGTAATCTGATGCGATTTCTTTTTTCCCCCCTTTGTGGTTCTTAATTCTCAATTTCAATAGGTTCTGCGATTTTTCACGCATTTGGTGTTTTCGGTTCTTCTGAACAGCAATCCTTGAACTGCCCAGTTTGGTAAAAGAGACAAGCAGGCGTGACGCACAAGAAGGTGAAAAGTGTTGAAATTAGTTGAAGCGGAGGCTTCGTTTTTCCTCTGAAACAGAAAAGTAATTGTACGTTGCCATTGTCACTCATTGTCAATACGTACAAGCAAGCTTCCCCCACCATCCACCTCTTCTTCCTTCTTTCTTCTTGTTTTTCTTTTAAATTCTTCTGTTTTCTACTTTTCTTCTTCCTCTTCAATGTATCACAGCTTCTTTTCTTGACCCAAAGATATGGGATTTTGTTATCACACTGCTGGGATAAAACAAGTAATTGAGAATCATTTTTGAATTACTGGGTATGAATAATTCATATGCTGTGAGAGATTTTTTTTGTTCTGCAGACAATCATTAGCCCATCCCTTCATAGCAGAAAGGCGCACAACTTGTTTCCTTTTTTCTTCAACGGCGGTTGCTAGTGACAGGCCACCACTGTCCACTGGCGTGAGGTACTTTGGCTCAAGTGCGCAGGAGACATGTGGTCTTGTCTAGAGACGCTCCTGTTAATTCTCACCTCTCTAAAACTACTTTCTGTGGCTTAACCTAAAGTTCTTTGGGGAAAAAAAAATCGTTATATTCCTTCTGTCGTGAAACGTATGTATTTTGATTTGGAATTTCTGTGATTCCATTATTCCATAGTTACCTCACAAGTTTCCTTGCTGTTCATATCTGAAGATTGAATCGAAGATCTCAGTCTATTAACCTCCCCCACAAGTCTAGTAATTAAATGCTCCCTAGATTGCAGAAAGCAACAAAAATAATGGTAAGTTTGACAACGATGAAGCGTAGCGTAACAATTAATAACTTGCAGTGGCAATATAGCCTGGACCCTGGACCATCTCTTCCTCATAGAGTCATACGGGAGAATGCTTCATTCCTTTCGACTTTTAGCCTAATAGAAAAAAAAAAAGAAATCAAGTTATATTACAAGCTACCAACAAGTGTTAGTCCAGTTGTTAAGAAGTTGACTCATAATTCCCAGGGTAATGAGTTCGAATTCCGCTGTTAATGTGAGGATTTTATTGGTGGACGATTTGTAAGTGAGTCCTGAGACCCAATTCATCCAAACTTTTGTATATACAAAAAAAAAAAGTTTTATTACGTGCTAATAGTTGAAGTTGAAACGGAATGCAGAAAAAAGGAACTTTAGGACTGTTAGTGGAACGTGACTTCGCAAGTCGATGTGACTTCATGAATGAGATTCTACCTGTAAAATTCGGATGCCAATTGATCCAAAAACAACAACACTTAAGCCAATTATTTTTCACATTGTTGGACCACTTGAGCAGCTTGCTGAATCATTGTTCGGGTGCCTGTCGGTTTTCTCCACTTTTTAAGGCTATGTTTGGATTGCAGTTCCAAACTGTAGTTGTGCCTTGGAATCTGTGAAACTGAGGTTGTAAACTGAGTTGGACCAAAACTGTTGTTTGGCTGGGCTAACTTTTCCAACCAACTTCTGGCTTTCAACCTCAGTTAGACTCAACGGAGAAAAATCTAACTTTTCAAACTGTAGTTTCAAACGGTGATTACTAAAAATGAGCATCCCAGATTTACCCTCACATTTTTCTCTCTGCCTCATCTCCTTCGTTAGCATAATAAGTTTTTATTTAGACCAAATAAATTTTAATTTATATTCATGTTTGTCTATTATGTATATTTAATTAATTATCTACAATGTGTTTTCAACTTTTTCTTCATAACAAATATTTTTATTTCATAATTTCACAATTAAACTATTTATATTTTATCATAATAATTTTATATGTTTTTTTAACCTATTATCACATTAAAAACATAAAAAATTAAAAACTACTATTTAATAAAGTTCATGCCCTTTTTAGTCATTTTACAACTAAACTAACTTTTTCATTCATCATCCAAACAACTTTCAGCTTTTTCAACTGACTTTTCAAAAGCACCTATTCAAACATACTCTAACTGACTTTTACTCTAACTTCAGTTACAAAAGTCAGTTGAGCTAGAAGTCAGTTTTGCCCAACGCCAATTCAAACATACCCTAAATGGTTACCGATTGTTAATCCAACAAAAAAAGAAAGTGATTGCTTTGGACCCCAAAAATTTGGCCCACTAAAGTGGTTAAAAGTATTGGGCCCATGACTTCCTTGACGTCGTTTAGTGAAGCCCAGGTCTATCCCCGAACGGCACGCAGAAGGTGGTAAAACAATACGACAAAGCAAAAGGGCAAAAGCCAAAAAAAAAAAAAAGGGAAGAAGCTGGACTGCAACGTCGGAATGGCTCGTTGTCGTTGATTCTGGGTCGTCCTTGGCAAAACGTGAAGCGCAATGCGATTGCAGAAGAAGACAGGTAGGTGTGACTGTTTTTCCTGCAATAGCATCAAAACAGAGCATACAATCCACAGTGCTCCTGAGATTTTTCACGCGCTCTGAACTCTTTGGCTTCTCTTAGTTAGCCTGTCTGTTTAATTTTCACCGTGCGCAGTCCTCGGTGGTTGATGGTGCGGATGCCACCTGGCTCCGCTGGCTCTCCGATCCGATCGCTTAAACCCTAGCTTGTAGTGCAGCTTTCACTCGCATCCCAATTCCGCCCGGGGAGCTCTTCTGTGTCTTTGATGTTACGATTATGATATCATAAGAGAACGCGGATTCTGGCGGCGAGGGAACAATATGCTGCGACAGAGTCCTCCCAAGCACAGGCATGATGGGACTTCACCGCTGCCTCTCGGGATGGACTGGAGTCCTCCCCCACGAAATTGGGTTAGTTCTATTTTCTTTCGCCCTTGTCTTAATAATTTCTTAATTCCGATGATTTCACGAAATCGGATGCCTCCGTTCCTTAATTCACCGATCATCTTTGTGCGCGATGTAATTTGATCTCTTTCATTACTTTCTAGTCAGTCTGCGCTCTTTATTGTTGATGCCAATCCAGTTTCTTTCGGAATTCTGGTCAATGTCCTCTCCTTATTGAAGCCAACTAGGCCTCTTTCGGAATTAGTGGCTTGAGTTACTTAATCTCTTGCTGAGTCCCTATTAACATGATTCAATTGCAACTTCTCGATTTCCATCCACCTGATTCATGAATTTTAAATCTGCGGGACACGTGTGATATCTTGAACTTATTTGGTATGAATATAATTGAATGGACAGCGTTTGTGGAGAAATGCGATCCAGACTGCGGCATTTTTAAGGCCGTGGTATCAATTGCTTCTTGATCACTTGGAGTCTTTATTGTTCTCGCAGAAGCTGTTGCGTTGATTTGAAGGTCTTTTGACGTTGCTTGAGATATTCCCCAACTGGGGAGGAGCCGCGCGGGAAAGTCTCTTTTATTTTTCGTTATGAAAAGTTTTATCGATTATACAGTCGTAGTATTCTTTTTTTCTTCAATTCAAATTGAAGGCGGTACTCTATTCTGGGGAAACATTAGTATGTTTCTATTAGTATAGGCGGTGGCTTCTTATCACATTAGATTTTTTTTCGTTTTTTGCAACTTTGTCATGTGTCTTTTTTGTTCACTGTTGTATGTTCTCTCTACGTTCATAAGCTATTACTATGCTTGCTTTTCCTTTTCTAGTTACTGTTTGATAGCTTATATGTCTGTGACCGTCTTTAGAAATCTGTTTACATATTATTTTATCATTTTTTTGGTCACAAGCTTCTTTCATGCAGAATGGACGGGATACAGTATGGCCACACAGTCATCGTACAGGTTGGAGTTATTGTGTCACCATACCTTCTTGGGTCTTTCTTCCCAAAACAAGAAATTCAGATCCCATCGTGGTACTTAGGCTGATCAACGTCCCTTTTTTATTCATGACCAAAGATACTGATTTTTATTTTCTGCCTATTCGTTGAATATTATCATCATTGTTAGTATGCACTTTTAACATCATTAGGGACAGTTTTACAGGGTCCAAGTTGGTCTGCAATCACCAGAAGGTATCACAACAATACATGGAGTACTGAGAAGGTTCAATGATTTTTTAAAGTTGTTTGCAGATGTAAGTTTTTGCTTATGCAGGTGCATCTTAGTGTATGAGTTTTTTCCCTTAATTGAATGAGTTAGTACCTAATTTGACCCTGATTCTGGCAACTTAGTTGTCAAAGAAGCATTAGTACATATGAAGACTTTTATATGTGTTGTTTTGCGCTTAAGTTTTGCTGATTTGTTATCATCTGTCTTTGTAGATTAAAAAGGAGTTTCCCAGGAAAAGCATTCCCTCAGCTCCGCCAAAAGGACTTGTACGATTGAAAAGCCGAGCATTGTTGGAAGAGGTAATATAATAATTTAGGTTATTGTTTTGGTATACTCAATGGTTTAATTTATTTCAGTACTATTTGTTGCACTTTTGGCATTATGGATGTGCAAGTGACCGTCTTGAATTGTCTTAAATGTCTATACTTTTTAAATAGGAAATAAGAAAGAACGCCATACTTGTAATTAGTCTTACTTTGGTCACTTTAATTATGACTACTTTATCTTTAAATTGCGCATAGATTTTGTTTTAATTTATACACCTGTATAAGTATGGTTTTATAGAGTTGGTTGGGAGGTAGAGGAAAACCAAGAGGGATACTCAAGGAAGTTATCAAATAAGATCCATGGGTAAATGATATATTGGAAAAGTTAGTTAGAATACAATGGTGTCATGTGATTTTGTAACTGGCCTCATTTAGGAGATGAGGCCTGTTGTTGTATGGCTATTATTTTTGTAGTCTGTTCAACAAGCATTTGAACTAAAGAAGGATATTTTTAGAACTTTTGTGACTGACGGTGGGTGGAAAAAAAATAACTTCCTGTTAGATATTGCAGGGTTCTTTGATTGAATCTTATAAAGCATTGTTTATACTTTAAAAAGTAATATCTAATCAACCGTGCGGGTGGTTCGATCTAATTTTAGTGACACCATTCATATTCATAATTTTTCCATTAATCTCATATCGAGCTTTATGGTTGGTTGTGGGTGCATGAGTTATGTAGGTATTATTATTATTGTTATTTTTTATCATGTAAATGACTGACACATTACATTGCACTCACTACAGAGAAGGTGCTCTTTGGAGGAGTGGATCACCAAACTTTTGTCAGACATTGATGTATCTAGATGTGCCGCAGTTGCATCCTTTCTTGAATTAGAGGCTGCAGCTAGAGCTTGTATGCACCTTCCTATTGCATCTTGCATTTATTGTGCCCAAGACATGTAATGTTTGCCTATTTTATACCAACTTTAGTGAATGGGCAGTACATTTGAACCTCAAGAATTGTAGATATAGCTTTTTTCTGGTTCATTTCTTCTTAGCTTTTTCAAATTTTTGACATGTTTTACCTCATTAAAACATCTTTCAGCTTTTCGAGATTCAAATCAGCAGAATTCAGAATCAGATCCTGCTTCCAATAACTCAGCTTTTTCTGCACAATCACCTCTCCATTCAAACTTATCATTAGGTGCTGGTACTTCATCTATTGCATCAGATTATGGTAGTGATACTGCATATGAGCCATCTGAACTTGGAACACCAAGAGTTGGGCTGGACGATCATTCTGAAGTTGGCACAGATGATTTAACATTGGATGAAGATGTGACAAGTCCGATGGAAAAGCTGGTCAAGTATGGTATATCAAATATTGATGAGGGTTTATTTATGGGTCAGACTATTTTAGAGCAGCTAGAAGGCCTATCCAAGCATAAAGTAAATGCCAGACATTTCAGCTATGCTGCAGAGAACAAAAATAATGGAAATGCTTTTAATGCCTCACACTTGGCTAAAAACCCGATGGAGCTTTTCTCTGAACCTGAGCAAGCCAATGTTTCCAGTCATGTTCGCAAGCATTCCAATGAGAGTGTGGGAAGTGATGGAAGCTCTTTGAGAGGTAGCGATTTTTCTGCTACTGGAATTCCAAATGGTTCTATTGACCTTCCTGGAAATACCATGGTATCCAGAACACCAGATATAAGTCATGCAGAGATGCAGTCTGCTGGTGATGCTCAAGTAGTCCTTCCACTAGATCAGCGCCATAAATTAAATAGGATTCTTTTAACCATGCAGCGAAGGCTAGTTACTGCAAAAACTGATATGGAAGACCTTATAGTTAGATTAAATCAAGAAATAGCTGCCAAGGATTTTCTTGCCACAAAGGTTTGTATCTCATGTATTCCCTTGTACATGACTTGTCATCTACAATCAGTTCGCCAAAGATGAGAATAATCAAAGTGCACTTGTGATTTGTAAATAAATGCATCTACAATTCTTGGAGCCCTACAAATTGTTTTGAGTTCCACTACATGTAAAATCTCGAATGTTATTTATATGACCACAACTGATGTGGAATTTTCAGGTCAAGGATTTGGAAGTAGAACTTGATACTACTAAACAGAAGAGTAAAGAAAACTTGCAACAGGCTATTCTAATTGAGAGGGAAAGGTTTACCCAAATGCAGTGGGATATGGAGGAGCTTCGTCGGAAGTCATTGGAAATGGAGATGAAACTAAAGTCTGAAGTGGTATTGGAATTTGTTTTATGGATATCAAACATTTCTTTTAGTCACATTTCATGCTTTTTATATTAAATTTTTTTATATAATACCCAGGGTGAAAATTCAATTCAGAATTCAACAAATGAAGCGGTTGTTCAGGAGAAAGAAGAACTGCTTCAGACTTTGAATAGTACTAAAGATCAGCTGGAAATTTTGTTGAAACAGTATAATGAGTTAGAAACAAAATCTAAAGCTGACGTTAAGGTCCTCGTTAAGGAGGTCAAATCTCTCCGAAATTCCCAATCAGAATTGAAGAGGGAGCTTAGTGAGTCAATAAAGGAAAAGTGCGAAGCTGAGGTATGTTATCATTTGCTTTGCAAACTCAGTTGTTTCATTGTTCAAGATTATGGGGGCAAAATATTAGTCATTCTTCTTCAGTCTGGATATTTCTCTAGTTTTCCCCCTTTCTGCAAGCCTTCACTCATTTTACCCTTTACGTATGTAGTTTTTGTGTGTAACTTATCGAGAGAGGTACATCTTTCTAGATTGAGTTTTCCTGCAGTCCTGCCTTTTCCCATGTTCCATTCTGTCATAAAATCAAAATCCCTTTTGTTCCATATGAATCCATTTTGAACGACATCTATGATGATGATTTGCGTGTGTTTTTAGAAACTTCTTCAACATGAAAGAGAGAAGAGGGAACATGCCGAATCTGCGTCAAGAAACCTGATCCAGAAATGCAAGCTTCTGTTCACCCAGCTTCAACAGTGCAACATCACTTTTCCCACAGAAGATCAAGATAACACCGCAACGAACTCATCATCTTTAGAAGAGACTGCAAACCAGTTAGCAGTATCTGATGATCGAATTGGCGTCCTACTAGCAGAGGTACTAGTTATTTTCCGTGGGCTACACTGTGTGATCCTTCATCAGTTGAACAAGAGTTGGGCGATGATGATTTTTTAATGCAACGTGCTTAGAGATGCAACCTCTTCTTTCATGCACTGTATTTCCCACCATAACTATAGACTTTTCATTCAAATTTGATCAGGTCGAAGACTTAGGGAAGGACACGGGAATGGCTGCTTCTGAAGTAGATAAAATCAATGACATAAAAGATGGTGTTATCTACGATGACGCACTGCAAAAGATGATAGCAGATTTATTCATCGACAATGCTAGATTGAGAAAAAAAATGAACTGTGTCACGAGGTATGCTCTCAAATTGGACACGTCAGCAAGTGATGATTCTCCGGTGGACACTGTAACAAATAGTAGTATGAACTGAGCTGGTGTATATTATTATTAATTCTTTTTTCCCCCCAATTTGACGAGGTTTCGCTGAGTCTGTTTCACATCCCGGTCTATCATCATATTTAAGTCAGTCTTGCTGAATGCAGTATCCTTCTTGGCGTACTTTCAAATGTACAAGCTTTTGATCTGTAGGCAGCACACATATACGAGCCCTTTGCCGCGCACGACACTTTTTGTAAACTTCACACCTCAAATAACAGAACTAGAGCTTGTTTGAGATAAACGTCTCTCTCTCTCTCTCTCTCTCTCTCTCTCTCTCTCTCTCTCTCAAGCACTCACACACACACACCCCTACACCTGCACACGCAGGTTTGTGTCCATGAGATATACTTGCCGTCAGCTACCATTTTTTTTGTTCTTTTGGTTTTTTTTTTTTGCTAAAGTATAGGTATCTTCCTATTGGAGGCAATCCTATTCGAGACACTTTCGGGTACTAAATGTGTGCAATTTAAATACACGTGCGCGTTTAAACATGTTATTTTTTTTTTGTAACAAAAAAAATGCTTTTAAACGTGTTAATGTTAGATTTGAGTTTAGGACCTCATTCAAGTGTGGCATTGTTATTGGGGCAATGATGTTATATGCCTTTTTATTGAGGGTAGGATTAGACATATACTCCTCCGATCCTTATTATAAGACCCCTTTTGACTTTTTATTTGGTCCTAATTATAAGACCCCAATCCATTTTGTCTCTTATATTATGCATTTTTTTCCAAGATAATCCTTCTAGTAATGATAGTTTTAGCCAATATACTTAATTAGTAAGGATATTTTAGGAATGACAATACTTATTTATTATAAATAACCAACTTAACTTACTTCCTTAATATCCTCAAATAAGTCAATTGGGTCTTATAATTAGGACCGGAGGAGTAATAACTTATTTTTCCAGTGGGATTTAGATGCAACTGCATATTGGTTCATTGTTTTCAGGCACTTGCGTGTTCATTTGATTCTGGACTGTTTAATAAATCTGACTTTATGGGTCTTGTAAGCCATAAAACACCCGTGTACGAAAAGGGGAAAAAAAAAAGGCAAATATTTCTAGGTGCATTCATATTTTTATCTTCTCAGGAGGTCAACATTTTTTTGGTGTTCTCTTACTTCACTCTGGGGACTGCTCATGCAAATATTTGTCGGCAATATAAATCTCTGACGAAGACATAAATTTCCCATTATGGTTGTTCAAGAAAGAGATACAGTTGAACTAACATTGTCGTACACATAAGTGGTCCTCTTTGCATGAGCATAAATGTTTCCTCCATTTTAATGATAAGTTAAACCGCATTATCTGGTTCAGAGAGCTCAATTCTGCCCCTTGGGTCAGGCGTCGTCAATTCATCATTGCTGGCTATATTTAGTTCCAGCTCAGAGATCGTAAAATACTCCTACTTATTTGAATAATCATATTCATCAATTTTCGGGAACTGGCGACTGGCTTCTTCTTTCCATGAACATGTGGCCTCTGCTTGCTGAGTGTTCTTTTTTTAAAAAAAAGAAAAGTGCATATCCTACGCCAAGCTTTCGCTCCGATTTTTTTTCTTTTTTTTGGGGATGGGGCAGAGCTTTTTATCCGAGGTTGATCTATGAGAAGGGATGGAATATGATATGAAAGTTGGGATAAAAAAATTCAACGCTGGATTAATGGTTGTACGCTGGTGGTAGATACATGAAATGATAACTAACAAGAAAGAAAATAATGAAGCAGAGCAATACAATTCTCAATTGGGAGCCCATTCAGGTGAGAACTGATATGAGGAGCACATCATCACCTTTCTCCTCAAACACTCTTCCTTTTTAACGTCAGCTGCAACCGGACTGCAATCACATCTGAGTCCCAAACAAACAAACAAAAAAGCACTCAAAACTTTAGACCCTTTTTTCTCTTTCCACATATTTTCTCGAGCTTTAATTGTTCATTCTTTCTGGAAATATTGGCGTACCTCAAACAACTATCTATTTCCCGTGGCTCCACAAGCACATACAATGGCTTCCCATTAAGCCTGCAATGTCCCTGTGACAAAAAAGGCTCAATCAGTTAAAAATCTGTCTCCCCATTAACAATATCTTTGAAACCCACTGACGTGAGTTCAAAGTTAGTTTTGGCTCTTACCTTAACCTCGGGCACGCCAATGACACAAGCACACTCAACCACTTCAGCACCAACACGTTCTACAGTACACAATATAACAAGTTGAGAACCCAAAGAGGAAAGAGCAAATTAAAATGTAATTGAAAGAGCATACACAGAGAGAGAATGATATTTAGAGCTAGAAACAAGAGATCTTGCCCAGAAGTCTTATTGCTGCCGACAGAGTTCCGCCGGTGGCCACCATGTCATCAATAATTAAGGCCCTTTCACCCGGCTGGACAGCCCCAACATGCAACTCCAAACAATCACTTCCATATTCTAGCTCGTACTGCTCTGATATCACTTCGCCTAAATACCAATCACACCAACATGAAGTTAGTTTGACACGTGTCTCTGGTCTCAGTTGCAATATAGGCATGAAGAATAGAAACCTAGCAGGCTTTGAGATAGATTTCTCGGTTACTTGGTTCCTGAATCTTAAAAATACATGATCCGATCCAAAATTGTGTATTCTCAGGGACCAAAAAGTATATTATCGTTAAAATTCAGTAGCAATGTGCAAGTTAATTTTCTTGGTGAAGCAGGCTTACTGGGGAGTTTTCGAGGCTTGCGTAAAGGAACAAACTTTGCGCCAATGCCCAGCGCGATCGGTGGACCGAACATGAATCCTCTTGCTTCCACTCCTACGTGGAATCCAATCGCATTTTACACAAGGTAATCCAATTAAGGGCAGAGACCTTTATCTTCTATGCAATTATGGGGAAGAACTCGTATATATCACGAAGAACCAAAGTGAATCATTTGTGTTAAAACATGAACAACATTGGATCTCCTCAATTATTCATGTAAACAAACAAAAGAACTTGGTGCAAATGTTGAAAATCAGAGTCTAAAACTTAACAGTATGTAATTTGAGGGAGTGACAAGGAATGAATATAGAAACGTATATATAGACATAGTTGCGAAATTGCTGTAGAAAGAGTACCGGCAACAACGGAAATGTGCATGTCTCTGTAACGATCGACAAAAATGTCGATCGTGTCTTTGAAGGCCTTGTGATCCAACAACAATGTCGTAATGTCTTGAAACATTATTCCTGTGCGAACACACCATTTTTATATTTCGAAGAGGGAAGAAACAAGACACAAACATAACAGTCTCAGATCTGTTGGATTTGAAGCTCAAAAAGACACTGCAAGAAGAATATTAAAACAAACCAGGCAAGGCCAACAGACGCAGGAACCAAAAAAAAAAAAAAAGTATTTCAGCCTGCGAGACCAAAACCTTAAAGGACAGGACACAGATATAAAAGCTAAAGGGAAGGAAAAAGAAAACCTTGTTTAGGGAAGTGAGGCACCACCCTAATGGCTTGAGATATGGCTTGCAGCCTTGGGTCTCCCTTAAGACCATTCTCTTCGGCAAACATACTGCAAACCTCTGTGTCTGTTTGTGTTGAAAAGAAAAGGTGGAAGCTTTTGGGGTTTTGGCTCTTGGATTGGGACGAGTTTTGTGAGCTCCTTTTATCTCTATCTATGTTTGTATATGGACACTGTGATGGAGCAAATTTATGTGCAGTGCTGAGCAGAGCAGAGAGAAGCATGTAAGACTTACCGAAATGGCGACGCCATTATAGACCACGTGGATCTCACGGATACGTTTCGATTACGTTGTTTGGGACGAAAAAACTCAAAGATTACTATGCATTACATGACAACATTTGTTGACTGGGAAGAAAGCAGGAAATTGACAAAAATCTGTTTGGCAGTTAAACGAATTAGTAATATTTAAAATATGGATTAAAATCGACAGTCAAATGATTGACAGTTGTGGAAAAATGGCATTGGAACGGGGGGAGTGGGGAACACGCGGGGAGGTGAGAGCGTGGGGCTTGTAGCGTTGGGCGGGGGAACGAGAAAAGGTGGGAGGAAGAGGAAAGAAACACTGTAGAAGAGCACGCGAGGGATGTACTATACGCAAACAAAGAAAGAAATGATAACATTATCATTAAAATCTCTGAGAGCTTCTCGCTCTAAAAATGGGAGAGATGACGAAAGGATTGCATTACGAGGGAGGGACCCACTTCCCCAATTGACTTGCATCATTCCATATCTTTGCCTTTCACTTCACTCTCACCTATATCCCACCCACCACCTACGCTTTTCCCCCCTTCCCCACTCATTGCTTTATGGCATTTCCGGCTAATCATAATAAACAAAAGATTTGCTGCAAAGTATGGAAATAATTAGTGATCATGTAAATGATTTATCCTGCTCCACTATTTTATAATTTTATCTTTATTGAAGATTTTTTTCCTTCTCTACATTTACTGATAATTCTCACATCTCTTTTTTATTTTTTCTGTTTCTAATAAAAATTAAATAAGGGTAAAATTGAAAAACAAATATTAAACATACTAAAGATGACTTACATTTAGAATCAAAACTTTTTTCCTGCAAGTGTCTTGTGTTTAAGACCGGAGTAGTAATATGTAAAAAAAATTAGAGAAAAATCTCTCATTACAAAATTTATTAGTGGGAATAGCTTTGATATATGAGAATTCAGCACCCTAATTTTATTTATAGCTTATCGAGAACCCTCTTCATGCTATGTTTCAATCATGTCTAGCAAGTATCAACATAGTTTTATTTATAATTCAAGGTAATAAATACACTATAAGTAAGATTAGGGTGCTATGAGGAAAAAAAATAGCATCAGGGTCCAGTGAAATGATTGTTTTCCCAAACTTTTCCCAACATATCTTAATTTCCCGGATGGCTCCATTATATGAATGGAGAAAGTGAATAAACGGAGTTAGATTTGGATCACTCACCTCATACACGCATGTGTGTGTGAGATAGCTGGCTATGGAGGGTCTTGAATGACACGAGACATTAAAATCCACCCCACATGGTGTGAGAGGTATTAATGGTCAAGCTTTTGAGAAAATGATAGAAAAGTGACCAATAAAAAAGGAGATAATGACAGACAAGTCAAATGAATTTGCAAAATCTCCTTATAGAATTTTTACATTGACGAATGAAATTAATTAAAATTAGTTATTTATTATATAATACTAAAACTATCCTCTATAAGATTATTAGCCACAGAAGATTTCTTAATTAGGCAGGAAGTCTTATTTATCTAGAAACATACTAGATGACAAAATTAAGTTTGATAACAATAAGAAAAAGCAATGCATATCAAAACAAAAGGGGAAAAAAAGACAGGAAAATAGTTGACATATGGAGATACATTTTCTTAATTTTCCATGCCTGATATAAAATTGAGCTCTAGATTTTTCATGAAATTAGCAAAGACTAGATGGTTGGCCATATGTAAATTTTCCAGATGGTTCCATGAGATGATTGAAGGACGTGAAAATGGGGTTAGGATAGAAGAGCCCACACAGTGTGAGGAATTAATGACGAGGCTTTTATATATTATTGAGTAGGGTAGGATTGTGTAGGGGACCTCTCACTGTGACTTTGAGCCTGTTTTTTTTATTTTAACTTTTTTGTGGTCACTTTTTTAATTATTGTTAATTTCATGATAAAATTGTTATATTTTCATAGTTTTGCTTGTCTAACTTGACTTTCCCCCCTTATTTTCATGGGTGATTTGAGCTTAATTGACATATAATCAATATTTCGAAAAATATATATACTTGTTTGTTTAGATTGTTGACATCTGTGTTTGAAACTTCTTCCCTTGATGGACCTGTTATACAGATGGTATTTTTTTTGGCCAGTATATATTATATTATAGTTTTATTAAATTTTTTTTATTGATATTCTGATCACCGATTTGGTAGATATAATGACTGAATAATAAAAACCTTAGGAATTTAAAATATAAAATATCCATAATAAACAAAAACAATATTTTTCTTGGTGAATTAAAAAAAAAAAAAAACAATCTAATGGAAGACAAGTAGATCCCAGTTAAATAAAAGATTGTTACATGCTTCTGAAGTATCATGTCATTAAGGGTCTATCATGTTACGCGTACCAAAAACTAATTCCAATTAAGCTTGACAATATTATGATCTGACCCAATAATATTTTAATCTTAAATAATTAGTAATTATTATGACTCACTCAATCTCTGAGAACTTGCTGTAAACATTAAAACATAATAATAATAATAATAATAAAAGGCCTTATAGGTGTACTCGAAAACAAGAGAATTAATACCGCAAAGCACTTGATTTGACTGGTAAGGGATTATACTAGTTTAATTAGAGGTTTTAAATTGAAGCTCTGAGAATATAGCAATGTTAAATACTCAGTGATAGATTGGCTTGGTCCGAATTAATCTGGATTCCCAATAAATCTCTCAGGTTAAAGGAGCTAGGTCTAGCTAGGATACCACATCAGATGTAGCGAAGGCAAAAAAAAAAAAAGATTAATAGAATTATGCTGAATTACCTTGTTTTGATGATATAGATGATGACAAGGAAGCATCTAATAATTATTCGATCTTTCTATATCAACACCACTACGTGCTTTAGTGCTATCATTTTTAAAACATTCGTTATTAACACTTTTTCTTCTTCTTGGTTTTCCAATATACATACACACACGCACGCACCAATACATATATATATATATATATATATATTAAAAAAAAAAAAGAGGAGAAGGATCTAAACGCAGATCTCCTGTCAACGCATTTCTAAAACTTTGCGAGTTTAAATAACGTTGATATGCTCTTTGTTTAATTGTTCTTTATTCTTAGTTTTCGTAAACATTGTCCTTATTGTTTGCGGGCGGGAGATATCTCTGTACTTTTCATGATAAAACAAATGAAAAAGAACACTATCATTGTCGTCTTTAAAACCGTGGATAGATCTGAGCTCTTTAATTTGGCCTTCTTCCCCTTCATGGTTGCTAGTTGATCCTTTTAATACCTCTGAATCTCTATCTCCTAAAAAAGGGATAACGCTAATTCTGGTGTAAAATATTGATTAATGCTGGATTAGTAATAAATCAATTCGCAAGTGTGTGATAGTTCATGGTTGGGTGGGTGATGTGCGAAGATTATTAGGTATGTCGTACGAATAAATTATAATTTATTAAGATCAGTTTGATTCCGTATCTTCTGAAAAGGACGGATAATATTTGAGAGAGAAAAAGGTGGGCTACTATCATGTTCATGTGCCTCTTCTATAATCTTCCTCTAATGATGTTTGATCAGTTTTTAAGTTTGATTAGCACATAAGGATGACTGTGAATGAACAATTACGAGGTTTAGTCTCCGCTTGGTTTTATTATAAATATTTTTTTTATAGTATTAAATTTCTCTCACATGATATAATATTCCGTCCTTCATCTTAAGTCTAAGCACTCATTTTTAGGTACTGAAGTATTCAAATAATTTTGACCATTTACTTGACTGCCAAAATATCTACCTCACCCCCAAAATTTATCGTTATCAAACTGTTGGATGGGGTTATATTAGACATTCAACTTGCTGTAACATATGCATATAGTTTTGTGAAATTAAAGAATCAGATTAGTCAGCACAACTTACAAGTTAGTGACGTCTGTGTTGACGAGCTTCGATTGACTCATTATGCTCGCCGCAATTGAAGGAGTAAACTTAAATTTCAGGTCAGGTCAAAAAAAAAAAACTTAAATTTCAGGGATTTTAATTTAATTATAATTCAATTTCTCAATTTTTTACTTAATATAATTTAGTCTCTATAATTTTGACTAAAACGTAACAGCTTTTATGTATTTTATGAAATTTAAGGATTAAAATTTTAAAAATTAAAAATTATAAGAATTAAATTGTGCTGAGTCAAAGTTTAAAATCTGAGTTACAATTTAATTAAAACTACGGGAATTTTTTCCATCAGTGTTATTGTCAGTCATCATCATTTTGCCAATGTCAGTGTTGGGCCTAATGCGGCCCAAAGAGATTGGTTAGAAGTGTCCAAGAAGGCCCTATCACCGAGTAGAGGATGTTTTGGTTTTGGATTGTAGGTCTAGGGGCATTGGCCCAAATGAAATGAAGAAACAGAATGTGAGAAGTATTTGATTGCTACTATCAAGGGGATTTTTATCAAAATGCTACACACAGTAAAATAAATTACCATGATGCTCCACTATGAAAAGTATTTTCCTAAATGCTATACTCAAACTCGTTCATCACAAGAACGAGTTCAAATTTTCAAAGAAGTCGTGCAAGGGAAGAACGAGTTTCATGTCTGATAATTTTTTTTCTAACAAGATCGAAACTCGTTCAAGGCATGAACGAGTTAGCCTTCAGAGCGTCTCAGTCCGCTTCTTCCTTTCCTCTTTCATTCAGCAAAATTTACAAACAAAGACCCATACCATCAACACATTCTTCCTTTTTCTTTAGACTTCAGAGAGAATTGCAATTAGTACCCAACTCCTCCCCAACCACCGCTTTCGTTTTTTTCCTTTGCCCTTCAGTCTATATTTCCAAAAATATGAATCAATTTTACTTTACATCCTAATAATATATTTTAAAAAATATAAAAAAATTTATTGAATATAAATTATTTATCAATATGATATAATATATGCAAAATTTATACCTATTTAATATAGTCATTGGACAGATTGAAGGTCAAGATTATGAGGGAATGAGTGGTGTTAAAATTTATTAAAATTAAACCAAATAATTATGTACAACCGCCTTGGTTTTGGATTGTAGGTCTAGGGGCATTGGCCCAAATGAAACGAAAGAAACGGAACTGTTAGAAGTATTTGATTGCTACTATCAAGTGTTGATTTAAGCAGAAGGAATTTGAGCATCTCAGGTATCATGTTCTAAGTTTGATCTTTTGAGCGGTTTGCAGGGAAAAAAACATAGTTGGGAGCGGCCTACCTATCAGTACTTTGAGAGATTAGTTTCTTACTATTCGGGTGGAAAGATAGTCTGAGTAACTAAAAAAAGAAGCATGTGATTGCTCCAACGTCATTTTCAGGTGATGCACTAAAGAGAAGATAAGATCAGAAGGGATGAGTTTGACGCTGGAAAGAACAAACACAGAAACACGGGAAGGTCATGTTCGTCACGTGAATGAATCCTTCAACTTAGGACCAACGCAGATCATCCTTTGTGAAAATGAAAGAGTGCCTCGGTCCAAACTTGCAACCCCAAGATCCTCCAAATATTTTGAACACATCTGTGCACTCTGTAATTCTGCTTCCACTTTTAAATGCGACTATCGTCATTTTGTTGGGTCTCTTTTCATACGTACATTCTAAATTATTTGTAGCATTATTTGCTTCTTACAAGGTAATGTGAGATGTGCGAACCAGGTTATATCCGCTATCATCCATCACCATTAACAGGATTCAAAAGATAAATCAATCATTAATGATATTATGCTTGAAAAGATGGAGGATAAAGTGGTAATTTGACACGCATGGAGCCAAAAGCAGCCGTGAATGTGAAATGGAGCTGTGAAGCGGCGTGGAGCACTCTCCACGTGTTTCATGGAACCTCCACATCCTCCAAAACGCGAGACGTTGCCTTATGAAATCCACGACATCATCCTTTTCAATCAATTTTTTTTTGGTACAAATCATCTTTTTTAATCATCCTTCTCCTTCCGCTTGTACTGTATTATCTTTATTGTTATTATTTTTTATAGTCTTAATATTATATAAATACGTAAATATTTGTTGACACAAAAATACATAAATATTTTATCAATATTTTAAACACTAAATTGGTGGATTGAGATTCAAATTAAATTTTTATTTTATTTATTTATAAAAAATCTTCAAAAAATACCTTTAAAATTTTTAAATTATAAATTAAGAATGACATGTGATTTTAAAATTCAAAAAAGGTGATTACAAACCTTGATCATTCAAATTTAACCTCATTTTAGTTTTAATTTTTTAATTTTTAAATCATAAGTTTTAGTTTCTTAAATTTATTTTTATTTAAAATATTAGTTTTTATAATCTAATAAAACTTGAACCATTTTATCTTTTAAAAAATCCAAACTTATATTTTAAAATTTAAAGAACTAAAATCTAAATTACAAAAAAAAAAAACATAAAAATTACTAAATCCTAATTAGATTTAGTAATAATATTTTATTTAGTATTGATAATACTAAATTTACAAATAATAATAATACTAAATTTTTGTTAATATTTTTTATTTGATATTTAGTAATTTTTTTATTTTTTCCTTGTTTTTTTACTTCCTTGTCCGTTTCAATTTTTTTTTCCAGCATGTTTGCTCATCATGACACGTAAGAACAAGTTTCGGTATGTTAATCTGTGCCTAACCACCGCGGCAGCGCACGTTAGCGTTCTGCGCCCCCCCTTTTCCCTCCATTCCTTGCCTCTTTTATTTTCAGGCCTCCCAGATTCTCTTCCTCTCTTATCTTCCGTCGACAACGATGATTCTGTTTCCCTTTGTGACCTGGACGAACGCTTGTGGATCACTCTTCGATCGGTGATTGACCAGAATGTATGGCTTCTTCTTCCTACATACGCCTTCGTTTTCCAGCCACTTCTTCCCAACGCCACGCCCAGGTTATCTCTCTGCTACTTACATGTTTATTTGTAGCTGTTTCAGTTTTCAAATCTTCACTTTGTATACTCTTAATGTTTGTCGGAGCTGCTTTAGATATTCCACAAAAACTCAGAGCTATCAGTGCCGTTTATTTACTCTTCAACTATTTCATAGAGTGATTTACTCTTAACTCAAATCTTGTCTCCTCCATTTCGACGTTTGAACTTCACATCGCTGCGGCTGCGATTTGCGACATACGAAATTTTGTTAATCGGTTCCGGATCCCAGCTTACTGGATAAATAGGAAAAAGTATTGATACTTATTGACATGTCCTTAGTTTTGCCCATGGCTAAATAATTACACACCCCTCTGTTTTAGTTTCGGGAAATCTACTTAATCCTCCATCTGTAGGCTTTATAATCACTTTCACTTTTTAACATATAAGAGCATGTGCTAGATTTGAAAGTCGACTTTAACTTTGTCAACGTTAGGATGGTGACTGGAATTAGTTTCATTTAATGGCCGCTACATATAGATCGTTAAGTATGCATATGTAGGTTAAATTGGTAGTAGTTTCAACTTTCATTCATATATCATCCTTCAAAGAATAAGGTATCGAATTTCTTTAGCTAGGAGGAGAATACAAGCGAGGTATCCTGACTAAATCAGTCTCCCATAGTTTGCAGACTCTAGTCCAATTTTTTTAATCTTTTTGTTCAGGACTTGATAAACTCTGATGATTCTATTTTTCATCCAAAGTATTTTGTCAGTTACGTTCTTTAACACCTACTGAACTTCTCTGCGAGTAGGCTTTGGATTTTTTGTTATCTACAATCTCTTCCTTCACAAACTGTAACTAAACTTCATGACAGCAAACGCTAACTGAAAATATCTTTTGAGAATTCATAACAAATAAGATTGAAAGAAGCTTGGGCATTTGATTCAATGGTGATTGGTTTCCCATGGGAATCTTTATCTAAAACGGTTAAAGTTTCCGTGCAGTTATGCTCTCTAAGGCTCAATTGGAAGCATAGCCCAATAGGTCTGGTGTCAATCAGAAATCAAAAAGGCTATTTATTTAAGCCTATTAAATCAATCTTAAATGACAAGAAGTCGGGCATCAACGATTATGAAGGAGCTGAATCTGCAAGGATCCTTCTTGAGAGGTTGTTTAAGCAGACACAGAAGCTGGAAGAACAGATGACTGGCCAATTTCATCTTGATCAAGATGTTCAGCTTGGGCTTAACCTTCAAGTCCTGGAGTCAGATCTTCAGGCTGCACTGACAGCTTTGAAGAAAAAAGAAGAACGTCTGCAGGAGGCAGAGAGGGTAGTTTTGTTAGAGAACAATAAATTAAACCGCACAAAGGAGGAATTGGAGCTACGGGAGAGAGAAATTGTAGCTGCACATTCAAAATACGTTAAACTGGAGGAGGAACTGAAGGAGGCTAATCTTAACTTTGCTTCTCAAGCCAGCCAGATAGAGGATCTAAAGCTCCAGGTCAGAGAGAGAGATCAAGAGATTTCTGCTGTCCAGAATGCACTTTCCCTTAAAGAAGAAGAAATGGAGAGAATGAAAAAGGATCTGGAAAAGAAGATTCAAGAAGCTTCTTATATTGATTCTGAGCTTAAACTGAAAGCTCAGCTTCTAAATGAAGCGAATGATGTTATGAGGAAGCAAGAAATTGAACTTCAGGAGCTCCAGGAAACTGTCCGAGAAAAAGAAGTTCAACTACAAGATTCTCATGCTCAAAAGAAAGTTGAAGAAGAAAAGCTGAAGGCTGCAGAGGCCGCCTTGGAAAAGCGGGCAAGAGAGTGGTTGTTAGCACAGGAAGAACTTAAAAAACTTGGTGAAGAAGCTGCAATACGGGTACAGGAGAGTAATGAAACAGTGGAAGATTTCAAAAGGGTGAAGCTTCTTCTTGATGCTGTAAGGTCTGAATTAGTTTCTTCTCAACAATCACTGGCATCTTCTAGAAAGAAAATGGAAGAACAAGAGCAACTGTTGGCGCAACAGCTTGCTGAACTTGCGGAACAAAGGGAAAGTCTCGTTTCATACACGGAAAGCTTAAAGCTGGCGCATATAGAAGTGGATAGCGAGAGAGTGAAACTCAAGGTTGCAGAGGCAGAGAAAAAAGAAATTGAACGGGATTTGGCCATGGAAAAAGAGTTTGTGAAGGAGTTGCAGGAACAATTGAAGAAAGAGAGAGCCTCCCTAGAGTGGGCAGTTCAAGATAAGTCGTTGCTTCAAGAGAGATTGGATCAAAATGGTACTGAATTCAGAGAAACAACTGCCCTTCTTTGCGTAAAGGAGTCGGAGCTCGTGGATGCTAAGCTAGAAATCCAACATTTGAAATCAGAAAAGGCTTCGCTTCAGGTTACCTTGAAGGAGAAAGACTTGGAACTTTCTAATGCAAGGAAGATGTTAGACGAGGTAAACCAGCAAATTGCTGATCTAAAGATGCTTCTGGACAGTAAAGAAACACAACTTGTTCAAGCAACCAATATGCTTAGGGATAAAGATGAGAACGTGCTGATTATACAGAATGAGTTAAATAATACTAAGTTGAAGGCTTCTGAGGCTGAAACTGTGGCAGAGCGAATCCTTGAACTCACAAAAACACTGGTCAATTCCATCAACGTTGAACAGAACTCTTCGAGATTACCAGATTCAGGTGAACCACTGCAACTATTACTGGAGACAAATGATGAATTCAGGTGGCGTCAAAAGAAGCTCGTGAAAGAGCTCGAATTGACAAAAGAGAGTTTGAAAACAAAGGAAATGGAAGTTCTTGCTGCACAGAGAGATCTAACTATAAAAGACGAGGAACTCAAAATGACTCTTGCAAGATTGGATGCAAAAGAGCAAGAGCTAAAGAAAGTGAGGGAAGAGCTGAATGACGATGCTAATGACCTGCAACGGCTTTATGCTTTGGCTCAGGAGAGAATTGGTGACAAAAGCATCGGAGACCTGGCTATTGAGAAGCTTCAGCTTGAGGCAGCACAGCTTGAAGGAGAAGCCGCCACCACTGCTCTCTATAAACTTGCAGAAATGAGTGGGCAAGTCTTGATAAGGCTGGCCTAAGTCTTGAGGTCGATAATCCCATCCCCGTGTTAACCAAATAACTTTGCTATCGACGACATTGAAGCTTTTAGAGAGGTGAAAACGGGAATTGCTCGACTCTCGGCTTTGACTGAGGAGCTTGCGAGGGAGGCTGGCGTCGTTCCCGTAAACTAGCATATGTCGTGAGGGAGTGTTATTTTGCGTCTCCTGATCTTCAGTCCCGGTTCAATGCTGCATTGTGCCATATGTTGTGTATATTGTATCCAAATAATGTAGAATACTTTTGTCCAGTTAGAGTCTGTTCTTTTCAAGATTTTCAGAGTAGCATAATTTCATTTTTGACAGCCTCTGCGAGTCTCACTCTTCGAAACAACCGTTGGCATGATATCAATGAGCTATGTTGTGAGAGCATCCTATAACGACGAAGGATATGAAACTTTGTAAACAGATCGATTATCTCATTCTAAAGAACAATACACTAGATTATCAGCTTCTCATCCATGTTCTGTCTTGAAGCTCCCAAGGGAATAGCTACAGCACGAGCGCGAGATAAATAAGGAAGTTGGCCTAATCCCCCTCCTCTTGCCCCGCATATTGAACCATTCGGGCTACGGTAAACTATTTAACATGCCCAAGCTTCCCTCACCCGAGTTAACAGTTCTAACATGCATGACATGGCAAGTTGGTATCGGAATACAACCCCAAAAAAAAAAAGACGTATACAAAATGTTGACCACGCTACTACTAAAACGACGGCAGGTCTTGATCCCCGACGAAAAATGTTGGCCAGCCAGACTCTCGCCATGCAAAGTTTCCTAGGAGTTCGGATTAGCCTGCCAGATTTTGCAAAATTGACGGATCTGACTTCAATTCAGATTCTTCAATTTTTTGAAGGCCGGCCTTCACCGTAAAAGAGATAAGCTATATGGTAATTGAGCATGTTATTTGCCAATCAACTTATAGTAGGCGTATAATCCAGAGCCGGCAAAACCGAGAAGTTGTCCAATAACATTCCACTGCAATCGAAACGAGACATAAACTATCATATGACAGAACAGGAAAAATATAACAGCAGAGTACACCCGGCTAGCAAGAGAATGTTGATCAGAAAAGAGTACTCACGACATCGAATGGTAGCCCACCAAAAAGTACCCAGCCAAGGCCAATGGTGAATAAATCCTGGACGACAATATAGTAGAAATAAGAAGGGGAATTATTTGATTCTGAACACGTATAGGATAATTTTGCAGATAAGAGATGAGCACTCACAAAGTCGCTAAAGTATCACAACTAAGGCATGTTGATGAAGAAACATATATTAAAATATTAAGTTATACTTTTCCTCAAATTATTCATTTTTTGAATCATCATAAAAAAACCAAACTCGACAATACAGGAAGGTGAACCAAGAAATTCACCAATTTAAATCAATTTCTTCACTTAAAAAAAATCCCAACAAACCATATTGTTGCCCGATATTTAGATTTCCCTCTCACTGAACAGTGGTAAAGTTCCTGCCTCACACAAATAATCCTTGCACTAAGAAAGCTACGCAGTATTCAATAACGTCAAAACTCAGATAAAAAAGGCCTTAGAGCATTATCAATAACCTGGAAGAATTGATGCATCATGCATAGGAGGAAAAGCAGTTAAATTAGCAAACTAACCTTCAGATTACCACAAATTGTCTGTGTCAGGGCTGAATTTAGAGTTGTGTTCAAAAAAATACAGTAATTCAAGAAGAAAGCCAATACGCAGGAAAAAAGCAACACGACCTGCCCAGACAAAAAATGCATATTAAAATTACAACTTGCAATGCATAAGAGAAAAGTAGACATAAAACAAGAAACCGGTTGATAATAAAGAAGGCCATCTCACTTTATGATTAAGAATGCGGACTTTTCTAGTAGCTGAAAACATAGTTGCACTTGCACAGGATATGAGTAAAAATTTCTCGCCTTATTTAAGAATATAAATTAAGATGGTGATGATGTAGTTATAGACTGCTAGAGATGTACAGAAAATGGCCACATGGCCTTTTAATATTCAGATCGGGCCCTTCACACTTAGCCTTCCCATAGCTTATTCTGTAAGCAAAATTATGCTATCTTTCTGTTATAATATTTGAGGAAAATCACTCAAGGACTGCAGGTGGCAATCTGCTAATGGAACAAACCATGGGAAGGCAAAGTGCGAACTACCAAATTACATGAGGTGTGATTTGATATAGTCTGTCACATCATTTACTGTAGACAGAGGGTGCCAAACTCCTGGTTAGCTTTGTAACAATGCACTGTCTATGTTCGTCTGGCAAATAACCAAGGGTGACTGGTGCCATGAAATCAAATGAGGAAAAATCTGATAGGAAGCAGAACTTACAAGGAATCCAGGTGAAAACAGGTAGGGGAAATTGATTGCCATCTTCATGTCACCCCGAATGAATGTCCAAATAAGCAAAACTGGCCCACATATTATGCCTAAAATAATAGAATGGAAGTATCGCAAATCAGAAAAAGAAAATAAATGAACCACAATTCCCATAAAGCAGAAAGTATAATGAAAGTTTAAAGGCCATTTCACAGAATCAACCAGCTTACCATTGCACCACATAAGGCCAAAGCTATTAAGACCACTGGTTTTTCCTGAGAAAAGTACAAACAAATATGGAACTGTCAAAATAACTAAAAGGGAACAATATAAATTCCCACTTTATGTGAGAGAGAGTGAAAGTAAAGGAATACAACCTACACGAGCTATGGTTGCGAGATATATTGCTGTGCTAATGTTGGACATAAAAACAACAGCATAGCCATAAGCATCAAAAGATAAGTCCCGTGCTCCAGCAATAAATGCGCCAAAGACAATCAGGCCAACACTGATAACAACCTTAAAAATTTCAGTCAAATGAAGAAATCAGGGAGATCAACATTCAAAATTTTAGTCTTGATTTTATTGTTTTTAAAAAAAAATTTGGGGGGGGGGCGTTGTTGAGAAAATAAAAGGTAAAAAAGCAATTAACCTATGACGTTATTTTGCATGGGATGCTTATCAGCGAATATACCAAGTCTACTGGCAAGCATGCATTTTACATAGAGTCTAAAATACGGCATAAAATTCATATGCTAGGTTTACCGCCAAACATGCATGAAAGTCATATCTCTTTTCCATCTATTGCCCAATAAATTGATACACAAAGGAAATATTGAGTGTGAGCATTATGTGCTATCCCCCACCATAATCGGGTGTATTTAGGACCAGAGGTGGTATTACATTAGACAACATACATCACCATCATATGTTAGATAGTAACATACACCAAGCCTCTGGACACTTTGTATCTTAACTTCTATTCTTTAACTCGAGCTACACAATCAACAACACAAGTGAAACATGGAAAGCAGACAACTAAAGAAGTGCTACAACAAATATTCAATCAAAGTATCTGATTTGCATCATGTGATAAAGTTCATCAACTAATTACCTTCATTACTAATATTTATTCTTGTGATTAGAACATCGTGATATTAGAATTCACCATTTTTTTCACCTAGCAACTTCACAAAGTTTAATGACTCTTTAGCGTGTGAATATTTCGTTCAACAAATGCCAAGGGCCAAAAGTTTTCTCAATACGGCCACTTGCAAAAGAAGGCATCAACTAATAAAGTAATCCATCAGATTCCTTTCATATTTGAAATATACGTCTGCAAGAATGCACCTTTTAACCTAATTTGTTCTTTTATCATCACCAAGTTTTGAAAAACCTTTTTCCATCACACCTGTCCAAACAATACAGTCCCATAATAAACGGTAGCAAAGACCCAAAGAACTAGAAATTGAATCTATGTGAGACAGTTGATTATTTCCTCAACCACAATGAAGTTCAATAAATTATATATCTTAGGTAGGTCATCCAAATTTCAGAGTCAAAGATTCATTGATATGAACTACGACAGACTGTCAGTCACATCATGCGTTGGAGAGAAAACACTTTACCTGAAAACAACAGAGGATGTATATCTCTGCCCTGCCAGAATATACTCCATAAGCATCGTAAACACCACTGTGGTTCTCCGAAGGGTGGTATACATTGGGACATTTACCCCACGAACAGATTCCATGGTGACTATCTTTCAAGGTGAAATACATAATTCAATTAAATATAAAATAATCAACAAGTAGAAAATGAACAAGGATCAAGGACTTGTCCTCTAAACAAAGGGAAGGAAGAAAATACCATGTAGAATAAATATGTCCCAGCCAAAGGAAGAGTGTGCCTCAAAGTCTTCAGCGATACAAATTTTGTTGTATCAGATGAAGTCAAAGATTCACCTGCTCTGAATGAAATTATCCTCCAGCGCTTCAATACATAGAGCAAGCAACAAGAACAGACCATCTGCAGCAGGAGGTAGCAAAGACAACGTTTGGAATTTTAAAAAGTGTCAATTAAATTCAAAATGAAAGGCCAACATGGGAAATATAAGTGTTGGCGCTGCAGAACACTAGCGTTTTGGCTTAACCAAGTTGAATAATCCCTCAAAACTTCGTTTAAGGAACTCCAACTCTTACAATATAGACTCTGCTTGACAATAATTGACACAGAAGTGTTAGATGACCAACAGAGAGAAGAGAAGAAATAGAAGACCAAAGGGGGAGGAGGAAAAGATCGAGCAAACCAACAGGAGAAAGAAGAAAAGGAATAAACAGCAGTCATGAATGCAATTTTGAAACAACAGTATTAACTTATGTGGCATTCCATCTTCAAGGAATGAGAAGTCAGGAATAAGGACCAAGAATGGAGTCATTTACCAACCTAGAATTATTGTTAGAATTGAATGTTTTTGATTGTTTATACAAAGAAATATACAAAGAGCAGAATATTGCAAGTTTTTTTGTAAAGTTTTGCTTGGTTCTGAAGACGGATAGAGATAGAAAGAGATGGTTGGGATTTTAAGTATGCATCACTATGTCCCAAGGACATAACGAAATAATGTAATTTGCCTTAGGAATGTTATAAAATGCATTCACTTACAGAAAAAAGACAAAAGAGAAAATTCTGTAAAGATCAACCTGAAGAAGCGTGATGAAACTTGCAGATGGGAACTCATAAGATGAAAGAGCTGCCTTATTGAACAGCACCAAAAGCACTAAGAAACAAAAAACAGAAATGGATAAGCAACTGAGCAAAATGCCGTATTCTCCTAGATGGAGAGCCATACATATGACAAGTAACACACAATACAAAAGAAAAATAGCAAGAC